AGCACAGAATGTAAACAAAGTCAGTGATAAAATCAATAAATCATAATAAATAATAACAGATATGACTGCATTCATACATGTTTGGTATAAAAGAACTATAAAATAACCATAACAATAAATAACAATACTTTTAGGCTTAGAGTTTTTTTTTTTTTTTTTAAGTTTGAAGGTTTTAGAAACTTAAACAGATTGCCAGTGTCAGCCAAAGAAAGAGCAGCATCACTCAAATTCTCTAGCAAACACATTAAGCACCGCTTTAACATATCAGAATAATACATCAATACAAACGTAATTAATGACTTAAAAACTGCAATATAATGACTGAGGACTGCAATATAATGCGTGATAGTGAATTTATAAGAGAAACGCACTTTATGCGTAAAGTTACTCACAGGTGAGTCGCGTGACAGTTGATTCCTTCACTTTATCACAGCGTGTGTCGTTTTTTTTTGCGGTTGGGATTAAATATGTGCTGTTAAGTGACATTATGAGTCTGTCATTCAGCTGTCATATGCAGAAACTGTACTTTTATGACGGTAAAACGATACAAATGTATTGCGGCAACTGTCATGTTGTTTACAGAGATGGAAAGGTGTCATTTTGAACGTAAAAGTAAACCTGCCTTCGCCGCCTAGTGGAGCGGATGGGAAACTGCACAGTTTCTACCAGATGAGCCGTTCTTATTGTACCACCAACAGACAGAAAATGACTCAAAGTTAGGTTTCTAATTTTTTTTAACCTGTAGCTTACTTCAGATATTTCACATTTTAAACAAAAATCCCTATTTGTTACATTAAATGTAAGACGGGCGAATGACAGATGATCACCGGCTTCCTCTTGTGGTCAACATCTGTATCACAGCAGGACTCACGTACATTAATACGTATTTAATTACAAATGATCTAATTAACATGGTGAAATTAACGTTGCTTGCAGAAAGACAGCAAAACCACCATAAGCTGACTTGCTTAGCCGGGGCGAAATCATGACGTCATGATTTTAGTACTGAAGTTTCAGGGTTGCCAGGATAATTAAAAAAAAAACGCCCAATTGCTACTACAAACTACCGCTGGAAAACCGCGGACTTGGCAACACTGCGAAGTTGCGCAGGCGCTGTGAGGGGGAAACAGGGAAACTGAATTCACCGGAACACCGGAAACTATCCGGAAACTATGGTGCATCAAATGTTTGGGGCGGATAGCGGAGGTAATGGAAATAATGAAAATAGAAGAAAAGTGTGGATTATGTCTTTGAAACTGACTATGAAAAGGGAAATCTTCTGGCAAGAAGGAGCATAAGGTAAGTTATTGTTGATGAGTCTATCAGTCCATTGAAACTAAGCAAATGATAGGAATGATTGAAAGTGTCAATTCTCTAGGAATGGAGATTTTAAGGATAATATGGCAGCAAAAAGACTCTGTAAGTGAAATCGCCCTAGCAGGGTTCCTACGCAGAATGTATTTCAGAATTTGATTTCAGTAATTTCCAGGACTGGATATGAAAAAAAGAAAACAGAGTTTGAATTTCCAGACTATTGGCGTATTGATTCTACACTATAGACTATTGATTCTGTTGATCAGTAACAATAGATAGATGTATAAAGCACTCTAAAAATATTGAAATGTTCTATAATGAGTTTCTTTGGTTTTTAATACTAACTTTTGTCTTGACCTTTATAAAGCAATGTTTACTTTATTGAAAAATATTTGAAGGCTACATGCTATTTTAATGTATTAGTTACGTAATTATTAGCATTAATAATTAACTTATTTAATTGAAGATATATTGATATTTTTCAAGTAATTAAAATATTTTCAGTAGCCTAGTTTTTTTTTTTTTTTTTTTTGCTATAGTGCAGAGATCTCTGAAATTGACTCCTGAAATTTTGTTACTGTGACAACACTAGTTTGCATTATTGTGAGAGTATCAAATTGTCTCTGAAAATCTACAGAGAAGTCTGTAAATTTGAGCCTGGAATAAGTGTGGTATTTTGAAATAAAAAATGTGTAGGAATCCTGACCTAGAGACTGAGGGAATTATTCTTTTTAAGATAAATGAAAAGATAAAGATACAAATAACAAACACTTACTATGTGGTGGCTCAGTGCTGCAACAGAATGCTATACATTTCTTCTGTGATTGTAGCTTCGATTGGAACTTTTTTCCCCAAAGCCTTCAGTTGAGCTACATACAAATAAATAATTAACAAGGAAACAAAACAAGCCAGTAGATATAACATACCATGATGCAGATATATAAATCAAGATACCCAAATTCTAGAAGCAAAGCAGCAGCAGTTTTCTCTTTGTAAAGTTAAAATTGCAAAAAGAAGAATAGATCATATATTTATTTAATCATTTAGCAGAAGCAATAGAATCCATTAGACCATTCTGTGGCAGCACTTTCAAGCTTATCAACTGGACTATTTTCAGCACATCGATAATATAAGATTTGTAGCACATCGATAATATAAAACGTCATACAGAGTTAGTTTAGAATAAAGCAATTAGGATCAGATGCAAAATATCTTTGGGTGCTGGCACATGTAGGTGTGAGGAGGTAGACCATCATTGCTAAGTGAACCCTAAAACATCCTGAATTGACATAAAGGAATAATATCAATGAATAAAACTGAAGTATAATGGTTCATTGCAACTGAGGTACGAAAGATCTTATGGTTTAAAAGGTAAACATTTGAATCATATTGAGAATCATGCAGAAATATTTAAATACAGCGGTAGGAAAATAATCATCAAAAATGGGAATCAAAAGGATCACACTCCAGATCATTTTAGGTAATGGCCCAAGGCAATTAAGAATATTATATGCTAAGGTATGTAAGTATTTAAAAGTTACAGGGTTAATAAATAGAATTTAGGGTGTGTTTTTTTTAATACTGTTCACTTAAAATTTTCCAACCTTTTACCTTCCACACTTCAGTACAGTAGGTGGCGGAAATGCACCTTCTGTGTTGGTTTGCCAACCACCAAAAATATCACAAAAAGAATAAGAAGAGTGGATGGCACTGCACACATATGTTTTCATCCAAATCTGTGGTTTGTCAGCATCTTAACTAGTAGATCAAATTAAAATCTACAGGCAATTGATTCAAATCAGCTCTCAACTGAACTGGGGTAAGCCAAATAAAATGTCAGATGTGTTGATATGAAAGTCACATGGACGACAAACAAACACAACTTGCGGGACAAAAGATCTCCTTTTGGGCTGTTTGTTTATTTTATGGGCAGATATTCTTAAATTATTATTTAAAGTGCTTTTCATCATTTTTGTTCACAGTTAATTATTTTGTGTTGATGTATGTAGTCTAATGATTATAAGTCTGTATCATAATGGCTAATATTATCTCTTCTAGAACATATATAAATTGTTTAAATTGTTTGGTAACATTTTACCAAAGTGCCTTTCAAATTTCTACTGTTTTTGGCTTTTCTGATTATTATAACAGACAACTTGCATATTTCGCTGCTGGAAAAAAAAAACAATATAAACCATCACAGAAATCCGAATGGTTTCCACTACAAATACCATTACAAACATTACAAACCATCAACTTTTAACCATTAAAAAATGGTTTCCTGTAGTGTGTTTTGGGACATATACCATTAGGATTTATTGGTTTTAACAAGCCACCAATTGAAGGCAACCACTTACCAGTAGAGAGCAGCAACAGGCACCATTACAGTTTGCATTAAAAACAGTACAATTCCCATTATAACCAGTAAAACCATTACAAATTCTATGATGGGTTCTATTGTTTTTTCAGCAGGGTTGGCAGGTCCCCTTTGCGGATATTAGTATATCTGGATGAATAAATGACACACCGGCAAAATTTTATAATGTAGGTTCAGTTTAAAAAGGGGGAGTGATAGTTAACTGTTTTTAACTGTCCTAGTTTTAACTGTAGATTGCATTTAATCGATTACACTTTAATGAAAGCATGCAGTTGGTTTGTGAAAAGTCACATTTGACATTTTTTGGCTGTGTCCTTGTATTTACAGCATCTTGACCAGCAGATGTCACCAGCATTCTGAGCACTTCAAAAATGTGATCCATTTTGCAAAGCAATTGGTTCAAGTAAATCAGAGTTTAGTTTCTCTTAGAAACTAAGCTTCTTATTAAACAGATCACAGTATTTTCTCACATCATCTAATTTTTCACTCATTACTCATTTCTGAATGACCTGTGAAATCTCATGAAAGACACACTGGGTTTCTCTGTGGTCCTGATGTGAGGCTGTAGCTCAAAATGAGTTGATCAAGCTGATCAGGGCAATGTGCTTGTTATATTAATCACTAAAAAACTGTCCATAGACAAAATCTAAATGGTTAGTAGTTGTATAACTCTATAAATTTAGCTGTTACCTGTCATTTGGTAACACTTTTTAATAATCCAAATAATCAGTCAGGTTTTACTATGTATAATCAGTGATCAATCTCTCACACCAACCCATTTACTTTGGTTTAATTTGAACTAAAAATGTGATGTTTGATTTTGTAGGTGTGGAGAAGCCAGAGTCTCACTCCTTCATCTATAACCTCATGATCATCCAAATCTCCAGATAGAAACTCACATCCTCCTCATCAGTGACACAGAGGAAGATCCAGTCAAGCTTTACTGTATAAATGCTGCTTGATTCTGCAAACACAACAACACAAACTCATTGTCTAATTGTGAATGAACATGATAAATAAAGTCAAATAAACATCTACTTCAGCCATATAACATATAAAATATATTTTGTCCCGTATTTTTTGTTTATATTTTGAGGTTGCCATTGAGTTCAACAACAAAACATATTATCTGACTTACCAGAGACCATCGGTTGAGTGTTGATACGGAACATTTAACGATACTACTAGATTCAAGTTATCTATATAGATTTGTTATAAAATATTTTCAATTAAAATCTTTGTCCTCTGACAAAAATTTAAGTGTAGTTTTAAATCAGGCTTTAGGTTCAGTTTGACGCACAGATGCTGCTTGACAACATGACGCTTGATAACAGTCACAACAACACGAGCAGACTGACTTAAGTATAAATTCTGCAGATGACAGCTCAGTTACAGACTCATAATGTCACTTAACAGCACACACTTCAGCCCATAAACAAACAAAACAGACAAATGCTGCGATAAAGTGCAGGAGTGGAAGATGTCACGCGACTCACCTGTAAGTCTCCTTCTCTTCCAGTGTATTTCTCAAAAGCATCAGAAGCATAAGTAGATCTTAAGAAACCATTGCCACATTATTACATTAGCCTACATAACATTGTTACTATATATAAAATTAATTCTGAAAAATGCATCACGGTTTCCACATAAATATGAAGCAGCAATAATAATAAATGTTTCTTGAGCAGCAAATTATATTAGAATGATTTCTGAAGGATCATGTGACACTGAAGACTGGAGTAATGATGCTGAAAATTCAGCTTTAATCACAGATGCATTTTAAATTACATTTTAAAATATATTAAAATAGAAAGTAGTTATTTTAATTGTTATATTTCACAATATTGCTGCTTTTACTGTTTTTTGTTTTGTTTTTGTTTTTCAAATAAGTGCAGCCTTGGTGAGCATGAGACTAAAAAAAAATATTACAAAAATCTTACTGACCCAAAACTTTTGTGTACATGTAATATTTATTTTAAATTTTGTGCAAGTAAATTTATTTAAACTGGTTGTTAAACGTTTAAATGGATTGTGTTATGTTCTGTAATTGCTGTTAATAAATCTGTCAGAAAAAAATATGCTAAAGTTTCACCTGTAGCCTGGCAGCCTTTTACAAAAATTAACCATGGTTTTATCACAGTAACCACAGTTTACCATAGTATTTGTACTAAAACTGCAGTAACCACAAATTTACCATGGTATTAATAATAATAATAGATTTGAGTACTTATGTAACACCATGTTTATTTCTCATGAGGTATCCTCAAAGGTGCACTATTGTAACTTATCTACCCTTAAAGCATGCATACTTGTATGGTAGTAATATGCTTAATAATAATAAATTTTAGTACTTATGTAACACCATGTTTATTTCTCATGAGGTATCCTCAAAGGTGCACCTTTGTAACTTATCTACCCTTAAAGCATGCATACTTGTATGGTACTAATATGCTCCCTTTTAGGGGTATAGTTGCACCTTTGAGGTTACTGCCCCAGTAAAGGGCTAAAATACAATTATAGTATATTTTATTTCTGACAGTGTAAACAAAAAAGGCATATGAAATGTTAAAAAACATGGCTTTAAAATCTAATATTAAGTGAGTATAATTACTGATTATATTCTTGTAATAATTTAAAAGATCAGTTTAGTTTAGAGGTATCGTATCGGTATCGGCGATACTGGGCTTGAAAATATCAGTATCGGATCAAAAATAAAATAAGAGGTATCGCCCATCCCTACCGTGTTGCGCGATTCAAATGAGTCGCGCTGTTTCGTTCTGCTTTTGGCACATAAACATTATATCGAACATTTATCGAACTCTTCATATCGTTTTATCGAGGAAAATTAAATCAAGATAATTATTGTTATCGAATTATCGCCCAGCCCCACCCTAACTTGCACCAAAGGTTAAAGAGACTTTAAATATACCTGTTTAGAATATCCACAGAGGAATTATACAAAAGAGATTTCACTTTGTTAATCCTTTCCTGAAACTCTTGAACACCCTTTATACTGCTGTGATTTTAACTATACATTTTTGGTGGATGCTTTCAATTAGCTTTCAGTGAAAATATAAATATATTCATCCTTATAGTTTTTCAGAAAATACCTTGTTTTTGGAGAATATATTGAATTCCCTGTTTTCTGATAGAAAATGGTAATTTTAGTGGGCAAACTTCACATTGACACATGTAAATGGAAGAAATGTAAACCCTCCTTTACTACAGGTGCATCTCAATAAATTAGAATGTCGTGGAAAAGTTCATTTATTTCGGTAATTTAACTCAAATTGTGAAACTCGTGTATTAAATAAATTCAATGCACACAGACTGAAGTAGTTTAAGTTTTTGGTTCTTTTAATTGTGATGATTTTGGCTCACATTTAACAAAAACCCACCAATTTCACTATCTCACTTAAACTACTTCAGTCTGTGTGCATTTAATTTATTTAATACACGAGTTTCACAATTTGAGTTGAATTACTGAAATAAATTAACTTTTCCACGACTTTCTAATTTATTGAGATGCACCTGTATAATATTCCTTTACTATAATTTTCCATTTCATAATTATATTTCAATCAGCTATATAACAGCTAAAATAAGAATAAGAATAAGAAATGTTTCTTGTGCAGCAATCAGCATGATTTCTGAAGGATCATGTGACACTAAAAGCTGACTTAATGAAGTTTTAGCATGACAGGAAAAAAACATTTTTAAATATATTCAAATAGAAAGCAGTTTTCTTTCAAATGTAGATTTAGTAGTTTTACTGTATTTTTTATCAAAAAGGGCATAAGTGCAGCCTTGCTGATCAGAAGAGATTTCTTTTGAAATCTTACCCCCTTTTGAACGGTGGTGTATATTATATATTTTACTTATACTATATATTTTAAAAGCAAGTATTTAGTCTATATAACAGCCATTAGCCCATATATAATTTTAAAAACATGTAATTGAATGCCACATGATCATGGCATACAGTATGTGATTTAACTGGACTTGAAATATCATTTTCATTAGTTTCCAGAGAAATTTGGCATTCAAACCAACCACAGCCAATCAGCAAACAAGAAGCATTTATATATATATTTTTTCCAGCAACAACAAGAAAAAGGCATATCGTGCTTTATTGTGTCTGAATGCTCGCTATTGTCTTCACAGAACGTTCGGCAGCTGCGCTACAGAAAGCTAAGCGAATACATAAGTCAAGAGTCGTTGCTATGGAAAAGATACACCATCTAGTCTAGTGGCATTGGTGTAAACGGGCAGATAACACTACAACACCAGACATGAACAGCGTGTCTAAGCACATAGAACCCATTATAACGCACTCCACACGCTTGTTTTGAAAAAGTTTGTGAGAGATCAGTGGTGTTTATGTACATATGGACATCAGATGCTCCAAACACGGACAAGATGCTTGTTCTGAAGAACCCACGTTCAGATCGCTGAGTTTCCACACATTCAGAATGTTTTCATTTTTCATTGTTATTTGGTGTGTTTAGTAATTCTGAATTGAGCAGTATATATGCAGTTCTTTGGCATCTCCCTGTGATCTTGTTTACTATGGCAGGTTGACTTGTGCATATTTGATAAGTTACTGTATAACTGAACTTTACGTACTACTAAGTACTTTTAAGTTGTAAAGAATATCTGCAGTGACATTTTTGCAAATATGCAAAAGCGGCATTCCTTCCGGTGCACTCAGTGTCCGAATTCACTACTCGTTTTCATTCACTCCTTCTAGTGAACTGAATTAGTGACCTAATGTAGGGAATAGTGAATGAGGGTATAGGGGGCGATATCGGACACAGCCCTGGTGTCTGTAATCCTGGGCACGCCCGCTGATTGTGTGGCAAAAAATAATTACATGGAATTGAAAAGCGATAACAAGGTTTTGTGAATAGAAAAGGTTGGGAAAAAGAAAATAGAAAAGATTGAGAAGAGTGATGTGTTTATTTATGTCTTTCCCCTACAGAATAAGGGATGTTTGGACCGTTACACTCAGCCAACAGAAGCATGTGGACAGACATTGACTGTGATGATGGACATCTGCTGATGCACAGGTAATGCTTATAACAGTTCACTGTGTGTTGTTTGCTTGTAAATGTATAGGTTAGCATAATTTTCTTTTTGAAGGAGCACCCCTTTGAAAAGCAAATGATGGTAACCTAAGTAGGTGGGGAAGGGAAAAATTATAGCAAATTACATTTTTTTCAGGCAGAAGCATAACCCCTGCTGGACATTGTGCTGGAGCTCAGGGGGGGATGCCATGATCCCCCACACCTTCTCACTCACACCAGACCAAAGAAGCATTTATATATATATTTTTTCCAGCAACAACAAGAAAAAGGCATATCGTGCTTTATTGTGTCTGAATGCTCGCTATTGTCTTCACAGAACGTTCGGCAGCTGCGCTACAGAAAGCTAAGCGAACACATAAGTCAAGAGTCGTTGCTATGGAAAAGATACACCATCTAGTCTAGTGGCATTGGTGTAAACGGGCAGATAACACTACAACACCAGACATGAACAGCGTGTCTAAGCACATAGAACCCATTATAACGCACTCCACACGCTTGTTTTGAAAAAGTTTGTGAGAGATCAGTGGTGTTTATGTACATATGGACATCAGATGCTCCAAACACGGACAAGATGCTTGTTCTGAAGAACCCACGTTCAGATCGCTGAGTTTCCACACATTCAGAATGTTTTCATTTTTCATTGTTATTTGGTGTGTTTAGTAATTCTGAATTGAGCAGTATATATGCAGTTCTTTGGCATCTCCCTGTGATCTTGTTTACTATGGCAGGTTGACTTGTGCATATTTGATAAGTTACTGTATAACTGAACTTTACGTACTACTAAGTACTTTTAAGTTGTAAAGAATATCTGCAGTGACATTTTTGCAAAGTGTCTTTGCAAAAAAGAACACTGAATGTTTAAATCTATCTTGAACTAGTTTTGTTTAAAAATGTCACAGTCTTCAGCGGGTGTGCCCAGGATGGCCACCAGATGACTGTTTTCTGTGAGCACATGGCTTGTGTTGTGTTTGTTTGGTGCCATGTGCTCTCTCCTGTCTATTGTCAGACCCCGCCCATCTTGTTACCTCATTATTGTTTAAGTTGCTCCACCTGTGTCTCCCTCGTTAGCCTCCTCGGACGTTCTCGAGTGCACTCATTCAATCCCACAATGCACTGCAAAAACGAGTGTACAACTGGTGCACGCTCAACGGCTAGAGAATGCCCATAATGCACCGTGAGAGTCACGCGCCGAATGAATTCGCGCATCTCGCCAGAAGATGGCGCCCGCAGCTGAATAATCAATCCGTTCATTTTTACAAAGCGCTCATCCATGGCGTACAGCATAATGTACAACACGGGTATAAATTCATTGTAAATTGATTATTAAATTGTTTGATTAGGGTTTATACATAATTTCCGTGACAGAGTTCAAGATAAATCCTTTAATCTTACTACTGGAGCTGCTAGTTTGCTAGTTTCAAATGATTAATAAACAGCAAGCACAAACTATGCAAAAGCGGCATTCCTTCCGGTGCACTCAGTGTCCGAATTCACTACTCGTTTTCATTCACTCCTTCTAGTGAACTGAATTAGTGACCTAATGTAGGGAATAGTGAATGAGGGTATAGGGGGCGATATCGGACACAGCCCTGGTGTCTGTAATCCTGGGCACGCCCGCTGATTGTGTGGCAAAAAATAATTACATGGAATTGAAAAGCGATAACAAGGTTTTGTGAATAGAAAAGGTTGGGAAAAAGAAAATAGAAAAGATTGAGAAGAGTGATGTGTTTATTTATGTCTTTCCCCTACAGAATAAGGGATGTTTGGACCGTTACACTCAGCCAACAGAAGCATGTGGACAGACATTGACTGTGATGATGGACATCTGCTGATGCACAGGTAATGCTTATAACAGTTCACTGTGTGTTGTTTGCTTGTAAATGTATAGGTTAGCATAATTTTCTTTTTGAAGGAGCACCCCTTTGAAAAGCAAATGATGGTAACCTAAGTAGGTGGGGAAGGGACGGGGGTTGGGAAAAATTATAGCAAATTACATTTTTTTCAGGCAGAAGCATAACCCCTGCTGGACATTGTGCTGGAGCTCAGGGGGGGATGCCATGATCCCCCACACCTTCTCACTCACACCAGACCATTCACTCATATCGCGGAGATCTGGTTGGACTTGAGCCAGCAACCTCTGAAACCATGAGGCAGCGCTCTTACCACTGAGCCACAGATCTCTTGTCTGAACATGTGCAGGAACTTATATTTCACTGTCATTTTACAATAAACCAGATAAATGTAGAGCCCATTGAGCTGGGATTTGAACCCATGACACCACCACAGTCCTGACTGTAAGAAACATGTGTTTAGCCATTAGTGCCACACTGGCTTTCACATCAAGGACTGGCATTTGGGCCAATTTGTTGGATATAATGCAATACATGAGCTTTAATGTTAGCAATAGTGGGGCTCGAACTCATGACTCCATGATCCCAACACAACACTCTGCATCCTGAGCCACTGTACCAGGTGAGTTACTGGTTGTTTTGGACGGGTTTTATTGACAGCTTTGGTTCATGTGATTTAAAAAAAAATTGTAACATTTTTAGAGCGTTTTATGTGGAGTTTTGCTAGACACAGTAACAACTCTATCTTCTGCACCACTGCATAGTGGTATAGTGGTGTTTTAGATGGAAATACGATAAAATAGCAAATTACAAATTTTATAAGCCACAAAGTTTGCAACAATTTGTTGTTGGTTTTTCTGTTTAGTGGTAGATATAATGACAAATTAAGTAATAGTAGGATTTGAACTCAAGATTGAAACACTTTACAGTATATCCTGAGTCACTGAATTTGTGGTGTTAAGGTGTGTTTTTCGTGTTTTGCTGGATATAAGGTTAAAAAAAACATGTAATAATGGCAATGGATTTGAACACTAAACATGTGAAAAAAACTTTTGCAGCTCAGCTTGACATGACAGTGTTACTTATGGATGTCCATCAGTGAATGTCTGTCCACATGCTTCTGTTGGCTGAGTGTAACGGTCCAAACATCCCTTATTCTGTAGGGGAAAGACATAAATAAACAGACATCACTCCATACTGTGTAGCTTAAACTCAACATATTACAGTTAGTCTAAAGTACAGTATACCTAAGTAATGATATATCATACAATAACTGATTCATTTGTTCTTCTGAAGGTATGACAGACAGGGAGCTCCGCAAGAGAGCAGCATGTAAACAAAGACTAAATTACCTGACAGAGGAGCTGTATATCTGAATTACACATAAATAGACACTTAATGACTTAAATACAACAATTAATTCTAGGCATGTAATTTTACAAGAGAAATACACTTGAAGAGAAGGAGACTTACAGGTGAGTCGCGTGACATCTTCCACTCCTGCACTTTATCGCAGCATTTGTCTGTTTTGTTTGTTTATGGGCTGAAGTGTGTGCTGTTAAGTGACATTATGAGTCTGTAACTGAGCTGTCATCTGCAGAATTTATACTTAAGTCAGTCTGCTCGTGTTGTTGTGACTGTTATCAAGCGTCATGTTGTCAAGCAGCATCTGTGCGTCAAACTGAACCTAAAGCCTGATTCCGCCGCCTGGTGGAGCGGATGGAAAACTGCACTTCAGTTTTTACCTTACAAATCATAGTTTACTGTCAACGGACTCAAAGTTGCTTCAGAGATTGGGTCATTGCCCATATTACAAAACACATGCTTTAACAGTTTCATACTGAAGAAAAAGCAAAAGCCCCTTTTTTATTTGGTTAAATGTGTATAAGGCAGGTGACAAACAGCTGATCATCTGCTCTCTCTTGTGGTCAATAAGTTTATCTGCGTTATTAACTGAAATTACAAACCCGAGGTGGCAGGTGAGAGGACCGAGACTTAGATTTAGAATATTTTACAAATGTATATTTTGTCATATCTAGTAGTTTGTTAAATGATCCAGATCAGTGTTCAAATTATGTGGTAAGTCTGATAAAATGTTGTTGTTGAACTCAATGACAAACTCGTAAACAAATCAAGGACAAAATATTTTCATATTGTCTATGGCTGAAGCAGATATTTATTTGATTTCACTTATCATGTTTTTTAACAATTAGCCAATGAGTTTGTGTTATTGTGTTTGGAGAATCAAGCAGGATTTATAGTAAAGCTTGACTGGATCTACCTCACATTGCTCTGTGATGAACTGGGTGTTTTCCTGCTTTGGGTCCAAGACTCTGGGACAGACTCCAGCATCCCCTAGTAAAAATAGCCTAGTAAAAATATTTCAAAATGTTACTGTTTTGCTGTACTTTGGATCAAATAAATGCAGGTTTGGTGAGCAGAAGAGACTTCTTTAAAAAACATTAAAAATCTTACTATTCAAAAACTTTTGACTGGTAGTGTATAGGCAACAAACTTGACACACTTGCCCGAAAAAGTGCGGGGGACGAATTTACGTGATATTAAAAGTGGGGGGGACACGTCCACCGCGTCCCCCGCGTAATCAATGCCCCTGCCTCATAGGATCCTACAGGAGAAGCAGTTTGAAGAACGAATGGGTGGATAACAGGCATACAGTCTATGATAACAGGCATGAGACCAGATCAATGTGTTAATGTACTCCCCCTTGTGGACAATAAGTGTATCTGCATTAAGACATGAAAACAGCAGGAGGAAAGAGATTGTGTAATCCTGCTCCTGGTGAGCCACTGTCCTGATTTTAGCTCCAACTCTGATGAAAAACAGCTGAAGTAACTAATCAAGGCCTTCAGGATTAAAAGAAACTTTCAGGCTGATGTGTTGGACTCATTTGTTTTGCACAAGTGGCAATTCATATATTTACGTCATATCTAACAAAACACAAAGAAAAACACCCCTTCACACCACAAATTGAGTGTTGAGTTCAAATACTGCTATTACTTAATTTGCATAGCAGAAAAACCAACAACAAATTGTTGCAAATATTGTGACTCATAAAACAGTGGTTTGCCTTTGGGTTCAAATCCCACAATTGAAGATGTTTTAACTATTTTATCGTATTTCCATCTCAAACACTACAACAGCTGTCACCACACAGTGGTGCAGGAGATAAAGAGTTGTTTGTGAATCATGGAGTCCTGAGTTCAAATCCCACTTTTGCTTACATTCAGCTGTTGTTACTGTGTCCAGCAAAACACCACCTAAAACGCTCTTAAATTATTATAATTTTTTTTAAATCACATGAACCAAAGCTCTCAATAAAACCTGTCCAAAACAACCGGTAACTCACCTGGTACAGTGGCTCAGGATGCAGAGTGTTGTGTTGAGATCATGGAGTCCTGAGTTTGAGCCCCACTATTGTTAATGTTAAAGCTCATGTATTGCATTATATCCAACAAATTGGCCCAAATGTGTTTCAAATGTGAAAGCCAGTGTGGCACAAATGGCTAAACACGTTACTCACAATAAGGACTGCGGTGGTGTCATGGGTTCAAATCCCAGCTCAATGGGTTCAATTTTTTTGGTTTATTGTAAAATGACAGAGAGAATAGTGAAATATAAGTTCCAGCACATGTTCAGACAAGAGATCTGTGGCGCGAAGAAAACAAAAAGAATGGCTTTATTCAACAATTCGTCTCCTCTGTGTCTCTCCGCATCACCGTAGCGCCATTTTGGAGAATATTCACTGAACGTAAACAGCTTACGCTCTTCTGTGTCAGCCGCGCCACACGGATGCACTGTTTTCGTTCATAATTGTGTTCCGAAGACGAACTAAGCTTTTACGGGTTTGGAACAACATGGGGGTAAGTGATTAATGACAAAATTTTCATTTTGGGGTGGAGTATCCCTTTAAAACAAGACTTTCCTTCACAATAAACAACAGTTTTGCTAAAAGGCAGGATTAGAAGCAAAGCACTGCTGCTCTACTAAAGCATGAATCAGCTTCACACACCAACTGACTCTTAACAAACATCAGTCCAGTAGATTATCTACAGTAAAACTATAACAACAGGGATAAAACTACAATAACTTACAACTACGCTTTATAATATGAATATTAGATGATGATCAATTCAAAGATTATAAATTAGCTCAACAGTAAATGATTAATTTGTTCTTCTGAAGGTCTGACAGGGAGCTCAGCAAGAGAGCAGCATGTAAACAAAGACTAAATTCCTGAGACCTGGCAGAGGAGCTGTATATCTTAATTACACACCAACAAACACTTAAACAATGACTAAAATACATTACTTAAGCAGGCTACTGCTAGACGCGTGGTAGTAATTTTACACGAGAAATACACTGGAAGAGAAGGAGACTTACAAGTGAGTCGCGTAATGCCGGGTTCAGACTACACAATATTTTTGTCGGTCACGATAGTCACTGTGTCAGATTACACGATTTTGACTCCTAAAATCTTGTCATGTCGTGGACAAGAAACATGTCAGACTACACGTTGCTTCCCGGCCATTCATCGAGAAGGCGGAACTAGCGACTGACTTCCGAAAACAAGAGTGTAAACATTGCTGAAGCGCTTCCGCTATAGTTCGCCAGCATTTTTCTTTCTTTGTTCTGTCGTGGTAGTCCCTCGATGACACATCATACAGGCAGGAGTACTGTTGCCACAGCTCCACGAACCTTTCCTCCATCTCATAATTCCACCTAGCAGCACCATCATCTCTCTTTCGTTTCGCCATGTTTGAAACCTGTGTATGAAAGAGCTTCTGTGCTGCTATTGGTCAACGTCACCAATGTGACAGAACTCGTCGTGGACGACAGAAAAAAAATTAAACATGCTAGTCTTTCTGTCGTGATGTCGTGGAGCATCGCAGATGCGAAATCGGTTGTCGTCCACTATGACACACTACACGTAATGAAACGATGGAATCTTGCGTCCCGATGCCCATTGTCGTTTACGAATCCCCACGACACCCTACGTCAAGCAAATCGTGGCAAAATCAGGCTAAAATCGTGTAGTCTGAACCGGGCATAACATCTTCCATTCCTGCACTTTATCGCAGCGTTTGTCTGTTTTGTTTATGTGCTGAAGTGTGTGCTGTTAAGTGACATTATGAGTCTGTAACTGAGCTGTCATTTGCAGAATTTGTTAAATCAGTCTGCACTTGTTGTTGTGACTGTTATAAAGCGTCATGTTAGGTGTTTCTCAAACGGAAGGCTGCATCCTACCGAGGCTGCGTCCTTCCTAGTTCAGTCCTTCAGAGTCTTGTAGGCTAGAGTCCTCCTCGGCATTAAACGCTAGAATGAAACGCTCTAGTAAGTGCGCGTAATGTTCCCGCCCTCACCGTCACGGCACAAAAACACGAATAAAACTTAGTTTTGGAAAAATAATTTGTATTACAAATCTTTATATTGTTTAGCTTTCTATTAATGCAATACAATGAATCACAGTCGTCTAATCTCCCTGTGGCTTAAATTATTGGCAGTTTAGCCTTTAGTAAGTAATTCACACCAAAACAAAAGATAACATCTATCCTTTCATGTCCGAAAACATTAGTCTCG